TTACAGCCAGATTTCGAGCGCAAAAATAAACACGTCATTCTAAAAACTAGGAATAAATACAGCCAGAAGGTTCAAGAAATTGTATAAATACAAAAACATGAACTAAAGGTGATTGTTGACAAATTTATCGTCTGAAACATTTTGTTTATCAACTAAGCAACGACAATTTCCGAATTTTCGTTTGAGATACATTTCTTTAAAAAAAATATACAAATATACAAATATACAAAATATACAAAATTTACAAAATTTTCGTGTTCACAATAATTAAACTTTAGGATTTATTCTACAATTTGAGTGGGTTAAGAAGCTTAACTTTTCGAGAGTTTTCTTAACTTTTTAGTTTGAATTTTTGTATACATGAATTATATTTCATTCCATATTTTAAGTGCCAGGACGCTTTCAATTATTGTCTAGTCTACCCATTTGCTATATTTTCTCGCTTGTTTTACTAACTTTTGACCAATTAATAAGCATGTTTTTGTTTTAGAAATTGATATTCAAATTCCCCGCCATATTTTCATAATTTGGTGCATGCGCAGACGTTTTTCCGCGGTGTTGGGGTTTCCAAGGGATTCCCCGATTTCCTACACAAAAACAACAAAATAAAATCACGGAATACTGACCAATACTGATAAACCTTGTAATATAAATACATCCACATTAAATATTGTTAAAAACACATTGTATATTTTGCTTGCTCATATGCTAAATCCATAGATATAGGAGTTCTCCTATATCTATGGCTAAATCACTTCAATTCATTGGCTATCGTTTCAAAATACCGTTTTAACGTTTAATTCTACTTTATATTAACATCCTAATTCAATACAAATTTGCGTGAGGTAAAAACCCACCTATATCAAACAGGACGAAGAATAAAAAGTATATATACATACAATTCACACGATCAAGGAACAAACGAAATATGAAATCTGCTGTGTTGGTGTAATGTACTCAGGTGAATAAGATGTTTGTGTGATGTTACTCTGAGTGTATATCCACACCGGGCAGGCTTGAAAAATATGCCTGGCCACGGCGGGATTCGAACATACGACCTTTGGAATACTAGCCCAATGCTCTTCCAACTGAGCTACGCGGTCAGGACGTAGGTTCGAATCCCGCCGTGGCCAGGCATATTATTCAAGCATGCCCGGTGTGGATATACACTCAGAGTAACATCACACAAACATCTTATTCACCTGAGTACATTACACCAACACAGCAGATTTCATAAATATTAGATTACACTGATATCGAAGGAACTAGACTCAGTTCCGAAATATCGCTTACTCGAACCGTCCTGACCGCGTAGCTCAGTTGGAAGAGCATTGGGCTAGTATTCCAAAGGTCGTAGGTTTGAATCCCGCCGTGGGCAGGAATATTTTTCAAGCCTGCCCGGTGTGGATATACACTCAGAGTAACATCACACAAACATCTTATTCACCTGAGTACATTACACCAACACAGCAGATTTCACGATTATTAGATTACACTGATATCGAAGGAACTAGACTCAGTTCCGAAATATCGCTTACTCGAACCGTCCTGACCGCGTAGCTCAGTTGGAAGAGCATTGGGCTAGTGTTCCAAAGGTCGTAGGTTCGAATCCCGCCGTGGCCAGGCATATTTTTCAAGCCTGCCCGGTTGTGGATATACACTCAGAGTAACATCACACAAACATCTTATTCACCTGAGTACATTACACCAGCACAGCAGATTTCATGATTATTAGATTACACTGATATCGAAGGAACTAGACTCAGTTCCGAAATATCGCATACTCGAACCGTCCTGACCGCGTAGCTCAGTTTGGAAGAGCATTGGGCTAGTGTTCCAAAGGTCGTAGGTTCGAATCCCGCCGTGGCCAGGCATATTTTTCAAGCCTGCCCGGTGTGGATATACACTCAGAGTAACATCACACAAACATCCTTGTAAAATTGTTTAATTTTCCCGAATTTCCCTCAAAATGGAGGGCTATTTTTGGATAATTTGGGTCAAAAAGGCAGGAACCTTATGGATAATTTGGGGAAAATTAGGCAGCTCATTAATATTCTATTTTGTGGCTATCGACAATTGGAGATCCAGGATCCGTGATAAATGCAAGCCGAAACCTATACTCGTCCGGGGCACAGGTGCCCCAGCGAGTAATAAGTTGAAAATTATAGAAACCAAGACTTTCGTTTGTCACTGTGCCTGAGTTTTGCCACTGCTCAAAGTCCTTCAGTGTATTTCCTGTTCTTCTCAGTAAACTGATGCTGAATTGATATATAACTACAATTTATGTACATTCGTGCTTTTAACCAGAATGAACGTCTCGGCAGGCATTTTGTTAAATTGGAAGGGAATCATTGAGTTCATGCAGTTATATATTTTTTGAGTTTTGCGGATTTCTCGAATTTTGGGTTGGTTTTTCGATCATTTCATCATAGTATATACGCTTTCAGTTTTGTTCTCTTCCCCGGTTTGTGGTTTTTGACATGACGACAAATGGCAAAATTCGCGCGGTGCCCGTTGGCAAAAACCACTGCAAACTGCTTTAATTCTTTCTGTCACTTTCATTTGATCTCATCCGTGAGTCGGCCTCAACGGCTTTTGATTACGTGTTTATACGCAATTTCTATTTGGTTTCCAGCAGATATACTATAGGGTTTTTCGGATTTGTTTCCCAATTTCATCTCTAGATCTGCCTCCACGCTCATTGCGATGATGATGACCTCAATCATGAGACCAAACTGAATGCAAAATCCCCGATCAAACGAGGACAAGAATTGCAGGCAGTCATGAATTGTTGCAGTGGACATTTGAAGTTCTATAGATTAACAAAATAAAGGTTTGATGAGTGTTCCTACTATGTTTCAACAAAGAAGAATTGCAGGCAGTCATGAATTGTTGCAGTGGACATTTGAAGTTCTATAGATTAACAAAATAAAGGTTTGATTGAGTGTTCCTACTATGTTTCAACAAAGGTGAGTGTTCCTACTATGTTTCAACAAAGGTGAGTGTTCCTACTATGTTTCAACAAAGGTGAGTGTTCCTACTATGTTTCAACAAAGGTGAGTGTTCCTACTATGTTTCAACAAAGGTGAGTGTTCCTACTATGTTTCAACAAAGGTGAGTGTTCCTACTATGTTTCAACAAAGGTGAGTGTTCCTACTATGTTTCAACAAAGGTGAGTGTTCCTACTATGTTTCAACAAAGGTGAGTGTTCCTACTATGTTTCAACAAAGGTGAGTGTTCCTACTATGTTTCAACAAAGGTGAGTGTTCCTACTATGTTTCAACAAAGGTGAGTGTTCCTACTATGTTTCAACAAATGTGAGTGTTCCTACTATGTTTCAACATAGGTGAGTGTTCCTGTGTTTCAACAAAGGTGAGTGTTCCTACTGTGTTTCAACATAGGTGAGTGTTCCTACTATGTTTCAACAAAGGTGAGTGTTCCTACTATGTTTCAACAAAGGTGAGTGTTCCTACTATGTTTCAACAAAGGTGAGTGTTCCTACCATGTTTCAACAAAGGTGAGTGTTCCTACTATGTTTCAACAAAGCAATACATGATAGTGTTGGGAAAGCATTATAGAAACAGCTAAACCAAGGTCGCGTGACAGCCAAAATTCATGTCCTCAGCTCAGCTCTCATTCTCGTTCGGATCGACTCTGCTGTCAAGAAAATTGACAAATAGGCTCATATTTAGACGATATAAATTTTCGGTTTTGGATTAATTTTTGTGCGGTTTTTCGGTTTTAATGGACCCATGCAACGTCTTCAATATTTGTATTAGGAAAAAATAGGGACACTAAACAACAGCTTTTCAATTTCAGTTTATTCTGTATTAAATTATGTATGGAATTTTAGGTATAATTCAAATTAATTTTCTGTCTTTTTGATTAAAAAAGCAATAAAGATGCACAGAAGCTGTGAGGCTGCATGTATTTTTACTGACTAACATATATATTAAGTCTCAGTTAAATCAACATACTTGTAGTTTCATCGAGAGCTTCGTCGTGAAAAGAAAGGCGGAGTTCAATCGACGTTATGTGTAAAAACATGTCAATAAGGTACGTTTATATAATGAAATTCAAATTGGTTTCTTTTGACTACGTTTGCACTAAAGCAAACCTTTTCAGTTTAGTAAAAGTATCCTGATTCCTTGTTTTTCAAGTATACGCATTCGCGAGGCGTTTACACAACACAGCCTGACACAATGATCATCAATGTATTAAGTACAATTTTAACCCTGTTAGTGTTATTATGCAATGTTTTAGTCCTGTTCGGCCTTTGAATTTAATAGCAGTACATTTGAAAAACATACGTGGAGCAAATTAATTCGGATTCTTAGTGGAAAGCCGTTATTTCGTTAGTGGAAAGCCATTATATATTGATTCTTAGTGGAAAGCATATTTTTTTCGGAGACGAAGTTTTAACACAATTCACAAACGTTTCCGGAATTGAAAGTTCCGGATTTATACTCTATCATGCTGAAACGGCAAAACGAATCCGATATAAAAACACCCCGGATTCGTATATAACGATTCTGAAAACTTTTGCTCTAGTGTAAAAGTAGTCTTATAATTTAACACATATAAACTTATTTTTTAGCATAAATTGCCAAGTTGCCCAGCTGACCAATACGTCAAAATCATCCCACCTTCCATCCCGTTCCGGTAAATCATAAATGAATCACTATCACCAGGCTAAACGAAAGTTTTTGAACTTTCGGTTTAGAGAAACTCAATGCATCAATGCATCAATGGGGCACTAGAGTTCCCCTGCCCACCTCCTTTGGCGCCACACCTGCTATAAATAAATTTTACAATTGGTGTTCTAATAGATTTATTTGTAAAATAAACCTAAATAAAATACAATGTCCTTTCACAGGTTAATGTTGGCAATGGTTATTTCGTGCTGTCAAACTGTCATTGAAGGTGAAAAACTTTCGGTCACCAGTCATCGTTATAAAATTTTACATGGTCATACTTTTCGTAATATTTCGAACATCAAAATGACGGAGTGTCTACAAGGTTGTTTATCTGATTGTCTTTGCCTCTCATTTCAAATATGTCATAGTGAATGTCAACTGTGTTCTTCCAACAAGGATTTAACGCCAAACGACTGGATAGAAAACCCAGATTGTGTCGCCTTCGAGTTCTGGAAAAATGAAACAGAAAATGAGGTTAGAATAACATACTTCATGATAACATGATTGGAAAATTTTAATTCTGACAAGCCGCCATATACGTAGTAAAAATAAATACATGTGGCACTCATTACGAGACCAATAAGGTCTCGAACGGTAAAATGGGAACTGGGATTTGCCTGGCCTGCGAACAGGCTCTCAAGTACTATTTAAAGCACGCGTAGGAGTGTTTTATCACATATAAAACACGACGCGTAGCGCCGTAGCGGAGTGTTTTATATGTGATAAAACACGACTACAAGTGCTTTAAATGGCTTCAAAAACGACTCATCTTATACAAGTTCATCGGCGAAGTAATTTTTAAAATAAACTTTGTCTAAACCGAGAAAATCAAAGCTAAAGTTTATGTAAATTAACATGATTTTTTATCACATATAAAACCACGACACGCTTATGATTTTTTTGTGTTTTCCTCCTGATTTATTAATGAGTTTTTGAAGGTGAATTGAGAGCCTGCATCGATGACTAATGAATTTGAATATCTGCGTCTCAAATCGTGACGCAAAATTCTCATTGGTCAGATGCTATAATTTATATGTTTCCGCTGAGCTCTATATATGTTAACTGCTGAAGCACTATGCATAAAAAAAACACATTAACTGATCAAATTGGTCTTGGCCATCTAATCTCAAAGCACGAAATGTTCTGTTTTGAGAAAACCATATTTAAAACATTTAAACTTTTGCTTGAATATCTTATATTTCGAAAAACAGTATAAACTGTACGGTCTAAATTTAGTTTGCACGGTCTAAATTTAGTTTGCACGAAAGTTGTAAACAACACCATATAAGGATAGACAGTCCATATTTGGAAAAACAAACGTTACGGGGCAGATATTCAAAATTGTATATCATCAGTGCAGGCTCTCAATTCACCTTGAGAGCCTGTTCGCAGGCTAGGATTTGCCTAGTTCGGGAGTAACCCGTATACCATTATCAAGACAGCTGTATGTAGTTGGACATTTCAGAGTTTAAATAATTTCAAATAAAGGAGCAACTTATTTTGATTGTGAGGTTGTCTAAAGTGTCCAGGAAGACCACTGTGGCACGTCCAATGGGGCGGGTGCAGGCGAAGTGTTGGGGGCGAAAGGGTGTGGCCGCCACGCCAATATTTTCAGAGTGTAGATCGTAAAAATTCGGTGCACAATTGGAGTGGAAAATTGTCATCAGGCAGCGTAGCTTATATCTGGCGAGCATCTATAAAGTTCTATGCATGTGACTGCTACTGAATTAAATTGTCAATTGTTCTAAAATCAATATTTTGCACTATTAACTTAAAAGATGATTTATTATTTTATATTTCCCTTCACAATGCAAGATTCAGAGACCCAAAACTCAATTTTGGAATTCAGTGCATGACTAATAAATAATTAAGCTCTCTTCCTGACTGCATTGATGTATTTCATTTTAAGCCTTTTTACCCGGCGTGAAGTTATTTCTAAAGAGAGATATCGAAGGCAGCCGAATATTTACTAACTGAATATCTAACACTTTTCTGGTTCTCTTTGCTTGTAAATGAATATAAACTCTATGTTTCAATTCAAAAAAGATCGAAAGATGCAAAATTTGGGCAATGTTTATATCTGGGCGACCCTCTTTGTTATGAGCAGAATTGATGCGCAGAACGGAGAGGACATCATCTTTAGGTCTAAGCTCAAAGTTGAAACTGGGATTTAATAAAAAAATGGATGGGAAATGGGATTTCGACAAATGTGGGCTACCAAATGGGACCTAGACACTTCAGTCCCTAATTACTGCATATATACTTCAATTTGATTTGCACGAATATATAGGCTACTTAATTTGGGCATAAAATTACTTGTTGAAATTCATCAGTCAAACAACCAAGCAACCAATTTTTCACAAAGCATTGGATTGCAGAAATAAACATTCAAGGTCCACAAAGGATTTTAGTAAAATCGACGGGCCGCCATTTTATTTCATTACTAAGCAGTTATTGAATAAGGTTTTTGTGATATCCAGAATTATCAAGCACGATGTATAAGTGTTACAGTCGAGCCGAACTGTACCTTGCATTTCATTAACTCTCTCGACAAACAATGATTTGTCGTACAAAATAACGTTTGATTCAGTCATAAAGCAGTGAATGGGATTTAAAATACCACAATAACAGCATCAAATAATTAGAAAATTCATTCACCTACTAAAATGCTGATTAAAAAATCAAAAAGGTCCACTTTCTGCACAAAGTCAAAGAGAAAACATTCACGAAAGTACAGCTTGCGTTCATGTTGCTTTTCATTGTTTTTATTCGTGTATTTAAAACTGCCACTTGCAAAAAAATTACACAGCGCTGGCTAAACCTACTCAGTTATCTGCTAGCAGGTAACCAGCAGATAACTGGGTTATGTGAAGAATTCGTAATTTCCATATTTAGCTATAAGCTATTAGCCAATCAGAAGACATGCAGTGACAAGACACGTAGTGACAACAATGTACCTGTGTCACAGGCATTCAGTTAATTATTTGGTGAATTTCGCTGCAATTTGGCAAGTTGATTAGTTCTAATTTACAAACATTATGAAATTTGCTAACGGGTGCGTATTCGAACGTATGTCACTGATTGGTCGCCGGGTTGCTACCAGTAGCTGTTTAACCAATCCGAGGATTTGCTTCCAAAATCTTTTTGTGAAGTCACAACCACAATTCGAATGACAACCAACTTGCTAATTTTGGGGCGAAATCCGAAATCAACAAAGAATCTTCCGAAAATTCTGGGGCAAATTTCGTGCAATCAATTGTTAAAAAATTAACAAAAATTATATAAAATTTTCTGTTTATTTCAGCTTGATAAGCAGTGCGATCAAGGTTGTATGACGTCATTAAACTGTTGTGTGACGTCATTCCCATGTTTACATGGCGGGAAATGCATTGTTGCTAAGCAATACTCTGAGCAACGTTTCGTGTGCAAGTGTTCAAATGGTTACCATGGACACCGTTGTGAGAAGATGTGTAGTCCTGGATTCAAAGGAATAAACTGTGACGAGAAAATCATATCGTGTCGTGGTTATAACAATGGAAGTGCTGTATCAGGATACTATACTATATTTGGTGGCAAGAACAACCACACCTATACAGTATTTTGTGATTTTAGTTCAAATACGACATGGACACTTGTACAGTCCTATAGCTTTGAAAACAAAGATAAATTTCAGTCACCGTTTTCCGTAAACAATGCTAGCAATCGGAAAAATGTTCCATTTTGGAAAAATCGTCGTCTTTCTAAATCGAAAATTAATTCTATAATTTCAGACAGCACAAAATGGCGGTTTACTTGTAACTATGATAGTAACGGTACGGTTTACATAGATTATGTGAGAGGTTTAACCACAGAACTTGATATAATACATTTCAATGATGCAGGATGTGTCAAAGTGCAGTATATCAACGTACGGGGTTGGAGCTGTACTAATTGTACGGTTTACATGATGCAGTTTCATGACATTCCCTTACATGTCAGAATCGATTTTTGCGAGCTTAATGCGAACGACTGGAAAGAGTGTGATGATCATGGTTCTGGCCGTGATCCTTGGTTTGATTTTGAGAGCAGTTTTGGATATTATGGTTGTTACAACACAGAGCATCGATGTTCATCTTCATTGTCTGCCACAACACAATTCTGGCTGGGTGGGTAACGTGGAACCACACTTCTACCATCTTGGTCCATTTAAACAAGCACGTTTTTGACAACACGGACGTCACGCGTACAGAATTTAACCGTTAATTATATGGCTTTAGCAGTGGGTTCGTGCTTGAAAACAAGATCGCCCACTCGATACAGTTTCACGTTCGTAAACGAGAACGGCTGTCGCCATCTATAACGGCTCTATTTATTTTCCGTGGGCGTTCGTCAATTTTTCTGTTCAGATATAGGTAATGAGAACCATATTGGTTTTATAGCAATAATTTTATGCAACAACGGTCCCTACTTGTTAGATAGTTAAAAGCGAAAAGCGTAGTGTGAAATATGATCATGTAGTGGCCTCGTATTTTTGGCAGAGTGGAGCGGACTGTCAAAAATGTGCCTATATATAATGAAAATTAAAAAAACAAATGACTTATTGTACGAATTTGAGCCTAAATAATGTAAGTACATGTGTAGGTTTATGAAAGATAAAAATTGAGATGCTTGTACCTGTGAAATGTGCGTTGGTAAAATATATCCTGTGGTGTTTATTTCTTCTTCTAGAGCAACCAAAAATAAAACTGCTAGACGTTCCTTTCGCCCATTACTCGCTGGCGCGCCAATTCTTTAGGAGTCGCACCCATATTTTCCAGAGTCACGTGATTATGTCACGAGTCCGCCGAGTCATACACACGTAAAAATCTCACAACTTGTCAACAAGATGTGTTCGCAACAGACTTGTAGCAAGCATGTCAACAAGTTGTAACAGTGTTGTTATTTTATCAAGTTGCTACAAGCTTGTCGCTCACAACTTGTTGACAAGTTGTTGAATTGTAGTTGACAAGTTGTTGAATTGTGTTGAATTGTAGTTGTTGGAACAACTTATAACAAGTCTGTTGAACTGAACAACCTTGTAGCAAGTTGTCAACAAGCCGTTGACAACTTGTCAACAAGCTGGGAACAAGCAGTGCAAACACATCCTGTTGACAAGTTGTTGGAACGGCATTGCTACAAGTCTGCTGCAGGTTTGTTACAACTTGTGCGTTTTTACGTTTGTACCAGCGCGCATAATACTTCTTTTGGAACCATTAGTCACGTGACCCCATCTCCCTTAAAAATGAGCAGCTGGTAAACTTGTCATTGAGAGCTGCATTTCCATATACAAATACAAATCATCCTGAAAATTATGATCGACCTCTGTGTGTTGGTGGTTGAGCTTTGGTTAGGATAAATACCAACCTCGTTCCTAGGGCTTCAGTGTGAGGACGAGGCGAGACACGAGGAAGCCCTGGTCTGGGCCGGTCACGTGACGTCAAAAAATGGCAGTATTTGACAGCTACTCGTCAAGGAGTGGCGAGATATTCTTTAATGAAACATACAAGTCTTCGAAACAAATAAATAGCCAAAAGACTTCTCAATCGATATTATTTATGTGTAGAGCGAAGTTTGGCACGAATCAGCTAAAATCTATGAAGATCCGGTCTATGTTTTCTAAGATATACCGATATTTCTGGAGATTTTCAACCCCTACAGGCAAAGCTGCATACAAGCTGCATCTAGGCGTCTCCATGCAAGTGGTGATTCACACGAAATTTCCTTTCTCTCGTCTTGAACAATATGGCTATTGCTATAATTAATATTTAGTTTAAATATGCTCTTATAGATCTGACTTAGTTCAATATAAATAAACACAAATACATGAAAGCTCGCATAACCTGTTTACGCTGTACAGGAATATACGGTTCGCTTTTTCGCCGGACACCAACACTTGCCGTTCAGGAGCAATGCTTGCCTACAAATTTTATCCCCTTCACAATCTTTGTTTTATTTTATCGTATAGTCGCAATTTTCAAGTATTCGGGGTATTCTGAAACTGTAAAACTCGGTGGCGTGCGAATCTTTTAGAGACTGCATCGGCCTAGGCGTAGATCTATTAAGTAAACAGGGCCTAAATTAATTTAGTAGTTTCATTTAATTGTTTGTCTTGCTTTTATTTGTCAATACAGAATATTGTAAATTAAAATGTTACTACAATGCAATACGCGTAGTATTTCATCAGACATCTGCACAAAAAAACTGTACAGGGAAAACTACAGCTTAAATAATAGTAGACGTTTTTTGTTTTGTCAGGAAACATCACAGCTCACTTCGACACGGCTTTTCAGTTTTGTAACCGGCCTAGGCGAAAGTAAATCATGCAGTCGGGAAAACGTCTTACTTTGAAAGATTATTTTGCAAAACATACTCGTACACACAAGAATCATAAAAATACAAATGTTGAACTGTTATTGTCAACTGTCAAGTTCAGTTATTTTTAGACAATATGGTGTCAGCCAATCAGAATGCAAAACTGACCGGCCCAGACCAGGGCTTCCTCGTGTCTCGCCCATATCTATGGTCTCGCCTCGTCCTCACACTGAAGCTCTGGGAACGAGGTTGGATAAATACCTCAGGTTGGGGTGAGGGTTGGATGTGGGGTAGATTTAAGATTTTGTTTTCTCAAACAACATAACAATTGCCAAAATCCACACTGCGGCAGGAGCATATATCAGGGCCGCAGTAAGCTCTTTTCGATTGGGGGCTGAAAGCCAGGGCCGAAGGCTCGAGGATATTTTTAAATTTAGAGTCTCTGAAATGCCATTTCCTGGACTTTGGGGAAGATTTGACAGAATTCTAATGGTCAGAAAACAGCGTTTTAGTATGTCGAAATTTACAATTTAGTAGTACTAAATGGGCGAAGGCGTATTTAATTAACAATATGTTGGATAAGTTGCAGGAAAGTATGGGTAATATCTTCATTCTTTGCAGGTTTGTCATGGATTAAATGACAAAGGTCTGCAAGATTTTGAAAAAAATAATATTATTAGCAAATTATTGGGGGGCTGCCCCCCTCCCGGTTGCTACGGCCCTGTGTATATGATGCTTGATTAACTGGAGGGGAGTTGAATATTTGGAATCTCTAGATCGTCGGAATTGGCACTTTCAGAGTCTTCATTAATTTAATGATTATGATTCTAGAGATGCTATGAATTTTATACTCGGAAAATGTACTTCTTCTCCTCAACTGGGACACAAATAGGCAATAAAATTACGAGTCCGATCCTATAGATAGTAATTGACCATTTTCGTAATAGACTAAATTTTGATCTAAACAAGTCTTGACAAAAATTTCATCACAGCTTGAAAGAACATCAAAAAATTAGTAATATTCCAAAGTTTCGTGCGGATAATATAGCCTTGCGAAGTTTGCAATTTTCAGTCATTTTAGATCACAAACGAAAAATTGACAGCCGGCCCGATACCCTTTGGGGGTATGAAATTTTTGTGTGATGAAATTTTTGTCTAGACTTGTTTCGATCAAAATTTAGTCTATTACGCAAATGGTCAATTACGAGAGCTATAACATACTGATTGCCCAAGCTGTCTTAAAAAAGTAGGATTTTATGAGAAAATGTAGGGAAAAGTAGGAAAATCAAGCTATTTTTAATAAATAATAGGAAAAGTGGGAAAGTTGAAGAAAAGTAGGAAAAAGTAGGAAAAGTAGGATAACTTAGGATGGCAAGAAAGCCTGGACAAACCTCAACCTCCCTTGCAATGAGCATTTAAAAATCCTTTTACAAACATCAGTGATTATGCTAGACTTGCTCCAAGTCTGCTTCTCAAAGGTTTAGAGTTGGGAAAAAGAGCAGACACGAAAATGTGGGCGGAGAAATTTTAAAAGTTCTTATAGGTATAGGCAATGAAATTCAAGTTTGTTAGAGAAAAAACACGTTAAACTGTAATTGCTGCCGCAGGCAGCTTCCTATTCTTGTGATTTGTTCCCAGACCTCTTTACCGAGCTATATGAATGCGACAATGTTTGGATTTAGCAATGTTTGGATGTTCAGTTTTATGACGTTTTGTGACGTAGAAGATTCGACGGGTTTTTACGGAAGCTACCGGCTGCTCTTCGGCACTTGCCAAGATTTAGCACGAGGGCGAAACTTACAAGTTGGCAAGTATTTGGCAGATAAGGCCAAATAAAAAAATAGGTACGCGACGCGTACATGTATCTGCGAAAAAACTTGCGAAATTCACATTTTGTATTTTCTTGAAGGAAACTGAATAATGAAGATGCGTGGGACAATTGAAATATTTCATCACTTATTATAATGGCAGATAAGATTTAAAACAGGGCTGTACACAGCGGGGATTGCAGCAGGGAAAGTGCTACCCACCCCCACACCGAGAAAATTTAACTAACTTTATAATGTGATTATGATTGTAACGGATAATTATGCAGTCAGGAAATAAAAATTTCATGCAAACAATATTCAAAGTGTCTATACAGCCGGCTATTTAGTAAGCTGTTACCTGTCAATTCAATCCATACTCATCAAATTTTTAAAAAAAAAATTGTAATCATATGAAGCAAAAGTTATGTCACTTGTTGTTTACACTTGCCAATGTTAACTGTTGAGTAACATACAAAAAATATTTGGTGAACATGTCGAAGACCACTGAATAATTGAGAATGTTTTGAAGGTCATTAGTGAAGTATATAATTAAATTCCAGTTCTGTGCACGGTTAATAATATACCACACTGTTCGGTTTAACACGTACAGCACATTCACACAAAAACAATTGTGTTGTGGAGATTATCGTTTTGAGTTATACCACACTGTTCGGTTTAACACGTACAGCACATTCACACAAAAACAATTGTGTTGTGGGAGATTATCGTTTTGAAGGTATCACAAGTTTAGTTCTGTACATTGTGTGCCATTCATCAAATCTACCATATAATATATGATTATTCATTGTAGCTGTTAAGTTATTTTCCATACTAATGAATTTAGGTAAGATTGTCTTGCAAGTTGGTTGTTCTGACAAAATTATCCAGCCAATATCCAGTATATTTATTCTTCATTCTTGTATTATTAAATCTCTAAAGAAAAATATTTATGTTAGAAAGCAAAATGACAATGTAATGAGGCTTGGGAGGGTGAGGATTCTTTTATTTGAAAGTGTTTATAAAAATTTTGTTTAATTAACTCTAATGTGTAAAACCAAAATGTATAACAGTATAAGTATTTTAACTGATAACATCTTCAACCTTTGCTCTAACACTACATTTGATGACAGCTTTATAGTTGGACTGTTGTTTTGAACAGAGTTATGGAGTCAATATACAGAACCAGGATTTAATTCAATATCTCCTGAGAATGTTTTCATTGTTTAAAATATTACAGAAGTCACAGAAGGATTGTTTTTAATACTGTATAAATCTTTTTGTGAACTATGTTGATAAATGGCTTAAAATATCCTCGAAAATATCCAATATTTTATACAGCGTAATATATTAATAAAAAAATTCCAGAGTGCATTCCATGTAAACTCTACGCCGAAGATACGGCAATATTAACTATAGATAGTATAGTAAATATTTGCCGAACTGGCCGGCGAACTCATGTATTATAAAATATGTGGGACATATATTTGCACAAATTTGGTATTTATATATATAATATGTGGTATTTGACTACTTACCAGATGAGCAT